ATGAAACCGTACATTGCACCCAAACAGAAACTACCTCATCCAACATCAATTTCGAGGTAAACAAGGTCAGCAACTCCATCCAGCAAGCTGGTTTTTTTTTTCGAACATAGTGAACAGTAAACATACTAGCAAACCTAGAGAACCACGAAGCTCAGATTGGCGATCACACTACGCCGAACAACCGAGACCACTCGATGCCGAATGATACCAGATTTGAGCCGATGACGCTTGCCAGCGTGAGCAACGCCGGATTTTGTCTGGACGACAATCGCTAGCATCGGATTTGGATTCAACTAGACTGGGTGACAATGGATTGGGCTAGACAACGCTCGCCGATGTCAGATCTGAATCCTCAACGACTAGGTTATTGCTGTGATACCATGTAGAAATTGATATAGAACAAAAGATGAGGGCGCAAGAAAGAGGAGAGCGTAAAAACTGATTAGGTTACGCCGCTCCTCACACTTTTATTATTAATCAAATAACACTTAAAGACCAAATAATCCTCTAGCACTTAATGACCATAATAACCCTCTTAACACTTTAACAACATCAAATTTGGCATTTGCCTCAATTGGAGTTGCAACAATCTTGGTATCAGTGAGTCTCGCACGTGAAAGAAGATCGGTGGGGTATTTTGCTTGAGAAAGATATTAGCCTGAGGAATCCGAGGCAACCTTCCAGCCTAGAAAGTAACTGAGTCGTCAAAGATCTTACTTTTCAAATTGCCGACTGAGATATTGCTAGAGTTTTGTAATACCAATATGATTATCACTAGTAATAATCATGTCGTCCACATAAAATAGTAGTAGATACCCACAAGATGTTCTTTGAACAAATAGAGCATTGTCATGGGGACTGGATCAAACACCAAGATGTTCCATGATAGAACTAAACTTTGAATACCATGCATGAGGAGCCTCTTTCAGTTCATATAAAGCTTTTTGTAAACGACAACCTTTATTAGAAGTAGTAGTGTACCCAGGAGGACGCTCCATATATACTTCCTCATTAAGATCGCCATTAAGAAATGCATTTTTAACATCCATCTGGAATAAAGGCCATCTCTTCATAGCTGCAATAGCAAGAAGACTTCGAATATAAGTAAGACATGCAACTAGAGCAAATGTCTCGTCATAGTTGATTCCATACTCCTGAGTAAAGCCTTTTGCTACTAGTCTAGCTTTGTAGCTTTCCACCATACCATCTACCTTAGTCTTGATCTTATACACCCATCTAGAACCTATTGCTGCCTTTCTAAGAGGCAAATCAACCAAATCCCATGTATGAGAATTGTTTAACGTTTGCAACTCATCTGCCATTACTTGCTGCCAAAGAGGGTTAGTTCGAGCTTCTCTGTATTGGCAAGGCTCGTGAAGGGAAGCAATACTAGAGTACCAATGGAAATCACGAAGTTGAATAGAAGGTTGACTTACATAAGTGGAATGACAAACAGGAGAAGAGGGAATAACCAATGGTGGAGAATCCGCGGATAGTGCAGACAAGTCAAGAGCAGCCAAAGTGGTATTACCAGAGGTACCTACATCAAGATTAATAGAGGATAACTCCAAAGAGGAAGATTCAATTGATGTATCTTTAGAACATAGATCCACTGAAGGTTTGGTAAAAAAGGAAGTAGTAGGAAAGGAGTCGAAAGGACGAAGTGAAAAGAACATCTTGTGTTCCCAAAAGGTAACATGACGAGATGCGCAGAGACAATTAGAGATAGGATCCCAATATTGATACCCTTTGTGCTCAATTCCATACCCAAGGAAACAATAGAAACGAGCACGTGGTTCTAATTTCATGTGTTCATTTGGAAGAAGATGGACAAAACAAGCACTGCCAAATACTCGAAGAAGATTATAATTAAGAACACTGCCATACAAACACTCAAAAGGAAAGATATTACCTATAGTAGGTGACGGAGTGTGAATGATAGTGTATATAGCAGTATGAGAAGCCTCTGCCCAAAACTGTTCAAAACAAGAGGCTAAGATTCCATGACTGCAAACAACACCTAAGATGAATGATGAATGATAGTACCATTTTGAGAAATAATTCTAAGAAACTTTGTGTCTCTATATTCCATGGCATTATTAGTACGGAATATCTTGAAATTTTGAGAAATATGTGTTTTAATCATGGTAACAAAATCATTGTAGATACAAGCTATTTCAAATTGTTGCTTCATAAAATATAGCCATGTATAACAAGAATGATTATCCACAAAAATCACGAAGTAGCAGGATCCTCCCATAGCAGGGGTAGGAGATGGGCCCCAAAAATGAAATAAGCATGTCGAAATACCTCGGTCAACGGCCAATAATCAACAGTCAATGACAACTTGGCCGATGACATGGCAGTGACGTGGTGGTGATGTGTTGGGTGACGTTGCAGATGACGTCAGCAATAACTAGGCCGGCCTTCTAATCACATGCGGCTCACATGGGCGCATGGATCTCATGCGCAAAATGTTTGGGTGGCGCATGTGGGCGCGTGCGGTGGTTTTTGGTGGCAAAGTTTGGCTTTTTGGAAACTTTGAGTGACGAAGTAGTCTTGTCTTATAAAAATATCCAGCGTTGTGTGTCAGAAACTGACTTACAGAGATGGCAGCGCGTGGCTACGGCGTCTGACGACGAGTCCGGTGATATCGACAATTTGCCGGAACAAGCAACGGAAGACGTGTTAATAGCAACTGAAGTTGCGGGCCAATTTGGTGGAGAAAGCGATCGACGCGGCCTATACGGCTGGCGTTGCAAAAAGGAGCTTTTCAAGAAAGAGGCGTGCCAAGTTAAAAATAAAACAAAAGAGAAGAATTTATATATATTTGATGATGAAATAACAAGGAGTACATGAGCCTATTTATAGGCTTTATAGGTTAACTATCTACGGTAACAAAATATTACGCAATCAATTACAATCAATTACAAGATATTCATAACATTGTAGATATCCAGAATATTATCGATATATGGAATATCGTAAATAATCTAAGATAATCTAAATATATCTAACATTTGCCGTGAGTACTGTACATGTTGAGAGTAAGCTGATTTCTTGACTATACAAAGAACATTCTAGATGCAATGGACCTGACATTGGGTCGATATCTGTGAGTTCATGCGATTATTTTTGTTTGAGTCCACATAACGATATTTTATAATTTCAAAATTCAAAGATAATTAGATGTGTTTAAAATCACTCCATAAAAAGCATGTGAAAGAATTTCAACAGGAGAATATGGTACCTAAATGGTGTCGGGAGTGCTAATCCTTTCCCTCATGTAATTAATTGAACCTCCGGACTTTAGGCTCTCGTTTCATCGCATTTAGACCAATTGACTTTTTTATTAGCTAGCTGACTTCTTTCTAGCAATTAGGGGGTTTCTTTTAGGTTTCCGATCAATCCCGTAACTATTACGCCCCGGGGTATGCCACTATATACATATTGTCCGCTTTGAGCCCCACTGGGCCCTCACAGTTTTGTTTCTCTGGGCTTCGCCTAGAAAACGATTATGTACAGATAGAGAACCCGAATCTTATAAACCAGTCCAGAACTCCCCCCTCGGCAATGTGGGACAAGAGACGCGTCCCCTCCCTGTACACGTTCGAGGACCGAGGGACGGACGCACCACCATCCCTCCTCCCCGCGCACCGTCACTCGGGCCATCACAATGACTTGCCCCGTTCACATGATTAAGGAAATGTTTTAGGAATCTTAGGTGCAACAGCTTGACGGTAATCGACTCAGGATTTTCCAGAGGCGCTACAGGCAAAGTTATCATAATTTGTCCATGTTTATCCCATTGAAGGGACGCCACTCAATGCCGGATAGAATAATCTCCATTCGGTCCTTCCCTATCCAGGCTCAGCAATTCGAGCGGCCAAATGCGTTTTTTTGTTTTTCGCATTCCTAATGGATGCACCTACCTTTGCCCCCCTAGGTCGTGTGAAATGGACATCAATGTTTAGATGGGGATTGAGAAGTGAAAGAAAAGGAGCAATACAATGCCACACCCCGTGAGACCATCCACTTGGAAGAGAAGAGACCACCCATCTCCTCGGCTTCCCCTCAACTCCACTGCATCCTAATTAGCATCGGCCAATATTCTTTTCTTAAAATGGATCAGGTAATTCGTTGATAATCGCTAAATAGCTACATAATTTTCTTCATTTAGTTTTGATGAAAAGAAATAATATGTCTTGATTAAGTAAAAGAAAATGTAACTTTCTACGTGTATTTCCGATATATTGCGTTTCTTGGCTCCTTCATTTAGCTGCAATATCGAATAACGTGGAAAAAGTTTACTTAAGTTGGGCTAGCGGCAAACATTGAAATTAATTGTCCCTCGGATTTATTTTATTATTATTTTAATTTTTTTGGGTTGGCAGTGCCTGCGTGTTGTGTCGCTGCAGGAAAAGTATCAAAAAAGTCCTAAACCTATTGCATTCGTATCAATTCAGTCCTAAATCTTTCATTTAGACTAATTCAGTCCTAAACCTTTTTCACATCGGTACCAATTCAGTCCATCCGGTCAATTTAGACTGGAAATCGCTCGCGTGGACGCCGACCGTCCTATGTGAAATGCCAACGCTAACGTGGAATTTTTAAATAATTTTTAAAAATTATTGAATTTTTAATGTTTTTTTTTCCTTTTTTTTTTGCCTTCCTTCCTTCTCCGTGGCTGGTCGCGGGGCTGGTTGCCATGGCCAGCGACCAGCCACAGGTGAGGACGTCGCGGCCCTCGCTGGCCACAGGGACTTTTTTCACAAAAGTCACACAGATTTTTTGCCTATCTTTTGCATTATCATTATCTATTATAATGTAATAGGTTTACGACTGTTTGTGTTGCTGCTGCCTCCTCTGGGAGGATTGCTGCGGGCCAATATTCGGTGGGCCCGGAGGCCATCTTTTACTCATTATGTTCATACCAGTAACTGGAGGAGACGTCGTGGGAAAGAGCTGATTCTTTCTGCAGCTGCAGCCCTCGGATTCGGCCTCGTCGACAGCGACTTCTTACTCATGGCCGATGTCAAACTGGAGGGGGCAACGGCTAGTCTTGAACATGGGTCCAACGACCTCTCGATCTGCGGCATCCACCATCGCAACCACAGAGCTGGCGAGCCCGAGGAGATGGCCTCGAACCAGCCGGGCAGCGATCACTCTTTAGGAATGGTATGTTATATATCTTTTTTGTTTTTTTCTTTTTCATTTTAAAAAACATATAAAAAAAAATTTCATTGCCGCAGGCCATCGGCAACGAAGATGAATTGCATTCCACTTCTGGCGCTAATATAGATGAGGGGGAGCTCGAGTCCAACCCCAGGGAGCCGAGAGTGGGGATGGAATTCGATTCAGAGATGGCCGTGTATAAGTTTTACCGCAGCTACGCTAAACAAACCGATTTCAATGTAAGAATGGGAAAAGCAGAATACTCTGGAAGCGACAAGGCCTTCTTATGCTCTTACCAAGCCGACAAGTCCAAAGAGCAGATCGCCAAGGCGACGCAGTACAAAAGACGGGACATGAGAACAGGATGTGATGCTAAAATCGAGTGCGTGGCAAACGATGAAACGTGGAAGATCTCCAAGGTCGTTCTCGAGCATAATCACGCGACAACGGCTCTTTCGACAAGTGGGATTGTGGACGAAGTTAGGGCAGTTGGAGAGCGGGCTCTTGTTTCCGATGCGGATTACAGTGATGTTGATTGCCCAAGACCTGCGCCTGAGGAGACACAGGACTTGATTGATCACTTCAAGTGTCTTGCGAGGTTAGATTGTTGTTCCTGTTACTCGTTGCGAGTGGTAGAGGCACGCGGCATGGAGAATTTTTTCTGGAGGGATAGCCGGTCCAAGCTCGATTACGAGCATTTCAGCGATCTTCTAGTCCTGGACACAAGAACTTGGATCACCAAGTATGGCATAATCTGTGCAACATTTTGGGGACTTAATCATCACCGGCAGCCCACCATATTCGGACACGGTCTCTTGGTCGATCGAACGGTGGGTTCGTTCCATTGGCTGCTCGATAGTTTCCTTGAATCAATGAACTGGCAGAAACCGCAGACAATCATTACTGAATTCAGTGAAGAAATCGCCGAAGCCGTATCTCTTGTCTTGCCAGAGACCCGCCATTGTCTGCCTGCTTGGTCTATCTTGAACAGTTTCAGGAAGTACCTGTCTCCTTTGAGTAGCCAACTCGATGTTGTCAACCTCTTCAGGGAGTGCCTCTTCCTCCACTCGCAGGAAGAATTCAAGTCGAAGTGGAATTCCTTTATAGGAAAGTACAAGCTGCATGACAACTCGTGGCTTGCTTCTTTGTATAAAATGCACGAGAAATGGTCTCATGCGTTCACGAAGAACTTCTTTTCTGTTGACCTACTCTCCATACAAAATGATGAGGATGCTAGTCACATTGTCAGGAATCTCTCCTCCGAGACCATGACGCTAACAGAAATTGCATGCCGGTGTGAACAGGCGGCCAAGAAGATACGCACAGAAGAATTTCGCGAAGACATGCTCTGCGAGAAAAACAAGGTGAATTTGAAAACCAGGAGTCCAATGGAGAAAGAAGCTGAACGACTCTATACTCGAACTATAAGATGTTCCGAGAGGAGTTTATCGATTGCCTAACGCTGGCAGTTGAAGAAATTAACAGCACGGAGACTCTTCGCATGTTTCAGTTGACTGAAAAAGGCAGCACAAAGACACAGACCCTCAGCAGCAGAAAGGCACAGACCGTCAAGTTTGATCCTTCCGATTCAACATTGGCATGTAGCTGTGGGAAGTTCGAGTCGGTCGGTATTTTATGTGTTCATGCCTTGAAAGTACTCATCTTCATGAATATTTTCAAGATACCGTCTCGCTACTTGGTGAAACGATGGACAAAATCTGCCAAAGACAGCCTGCCGGTGGACATCCCAGTGCATGGACTGCACGTGATGGAGTTCCGATCAATTCGTTTACGGGTGAGTTTATGCGTAAGGCTTTGCATGTAGCCCATATGTCTGTAAATAAGAAGAGGAAGAGAATAGCTATGAGGTTCATAGATTTGGCAGTGGAGCACATTGCAAAGGTTTTGAAAACGGAAGAAGTGGCAGTTGCTCTGGACGATCCAGACGGTAAGGATGATATGGATTGGACCATTTGTGAGTATGCTCTCGAAACACAACTCGACCAGCAGAATGCAGCTAAATCTGGGATGGGATGTCCGAGAGGGAAACGCAAAGTTCTAGGCCATCGACCAGCTGGTAAACGGGTTGGTCTCTTCCTTACCAAATCGTTTCTCAAGTTCACTGCCTTGTGTGTGCACTTCCACATTAGACTGCATTATCTCAGTAGGATTATCGTCCCTTATAGTAACTATTATTACCGATTAGACTTTAAGGTTCGCTGTGGAAGTGTGGGCTATAAGGGGTAAAACTATTGCCTTGATTTAAATATAACATGTTTAGAGATTGAATCCGATGCCAGCCATGTGATATATGCCTTGCAAAAAGCTAGTGTTGACATCCCTGACTTGCACTCAATTTTGAATGAACGCAGGGACGTCTTAGCTGTATTCCAGCAGGTGACAATTAAGCATGCGTTCAGGGAATCAAATCAGTGTGCGAAAAGCTAGCAAAGATGAAATTGATGGCATCTTACTATATGTATCTACTTTCAATTGTATTCCTTCTGAATTAGAAACTTCGGTTGTATTAAATAAGCAAAGAGCAATATCCCCGGAGACTCAGACTAGGATTTGGCCTTGATTTGTACTTCCTTATTTGGATTGTTTATGTAAGCATGTTTCTACTGAAAAAAAAAAATTTGCACCCGTTGAAAGGGATGTCAAGAAACTTAAAATTTGTCCAATGGCTAGCCAAATTAAACATACTTCTATAGTAATATAAGAACACGATCATGTAAACGAACAATAGATACTAAAATCAATATCTTCCCTGACCACACTGAATTGGAAGTTACCAGTAAACTCTCTTTGAAGCATTTCCTATTCCATTTGCTAAGTTCAAATTACTCATGTGTTGGCCACTTATGAGGAGAACTTGGAGAGGCGAGAGAAAGGGAAGGAACCTTGGTAAGTGCTATAGAAATACATTCAGCTGTGCAAAGTATTTGAGAAAGTTACATTGTCTGCATCCCAAGTTACGACAAGAGCTACTTGGTCTAACGCAATTGTGAAAAGTTAGAAAGTCTATATAGCTCATGAATACTTACACGCTTTTGACCGATCATATCTGTTATAGTTCCATTTAGTAAAGCTGCTATAGGTCCTCCAATTGTCAGCATCGAACCAAAAAGTGAATAATGCAGCATAATAGGGGAAAGATTAACACAGAGAACCCGAACCGTAACTGAGTGCACTTATCCGTCGACAGTCCTTAACACAAGATATGCTTTTATTGCTTATCGATTAAGATACAGGGTTAATGCTATATGTTAAGGAACAAAGTACATAGAAAATTAGGATTATTATTTTAATCTTAGAATTTAGATGATAGTTAAATCAACTAAAACTTCGCAGCAATCATGCCATTATGATCCTATTTCAACAATAAGCTGAATACGTCCAACCCATTCAACAGATTCTTCATTCGTGAGGAGGAAGGTAGACGAACTGCCGCTACAGAAAGTCCCAGATCTTCCATCATGCCTGACATAACTGGCGATGACGTCCGGTAGATATTGGAAAGAATTAGAAGATTGATTGTTATTTATGTCCTTAGTGGGTATAAATATTCATAAACAAATAGGACAAGTTCAATGATTGGGTTGAAATCATCAGTTAAAACAATCTCTTCGTTTGGGTGGTAGCAATTAACACTACTTTTGAACCACTACGCCTTCTCACATATCAGATTGCCACTTGTACGCAACCACTGCAAGATCCTGAAGGAACTCACCAACCATCTAGGAGACTCTGTTATGAAGTATAAACTGAAAATTTGTATTACACCAGGAATTCCACCTGAAAAATAAAACACAAAAGGCACTTTTTGTTTATTTTCAACTTTTTTATCAGAAATAACTGTTAATAGAGATTTCACACCAAAAAAAAAAACTGTTAATAGAGAATCCCAGACGCTACCGATCAAAGCCACGGCGCACCAGGAAACAATAGTTCCAACAAAGTTTGTCAATGAAAAGCCAAAAGCTTGCATGGACTGCAACAAGAAGACAAATAGACCAAAAGGCGATGTATTGGCAACATGAAGCAAGATCATATTGTTCTAATTTTATTCTGACCGGATTGAATGAAGCAAATGCTCCCCGTACATTTTTATGGGCAAAAGGACACTATAAGTGCCATAACTTGTGTACGGAGATCACTTTGGTGTCATAACTTTTTTTCGGATCACTTTGGTGCCAAGTCGGAGGAAAAACGACTACTTAAGTGTCATAAGTTTTTTTTGGATCACTTCAGTGCTAAAATTTTTGAAAAACGATCACTTAAGTGCTAAATTTTTTTAAAAATGATCATTTAAGTGCTAAAATTTTTGAAAAACGATCACTTAAGTGCCAATCTCCGGCGAGCCACGTCAGCTTCAGAAATTAATAAAAAAAATGCCACGTCGGATTTCCGGCGAAAAATTGTGTACGGCACCGGAGTTGGCACTTAAGTGATCGTTTTTCAAAAATTTTAGCACTTAAGTGATCGTTTTTCAAAAATTTTAGCACTAAAGTGATCCAAAAAAAACTTATGGCACCAAAGTGAGCGCCGTACACAAGTTATGGCACTTGTAGTGTTCTTTTGCCCATTTTTATGTGTTATTTCTGCGATGTATACAGGTACCTGATGGGTAAAAGAGAGGCGATGATCATCGCGGTTCACATAAGTGTACCGGGAAGTCCAAAGTGCGTATTACCACATAGCCTGCGACCCCAACGCCAAATCCCATCAATGCTCTTCTAGCATCCAGCCACCAAGCATTCTGCGAAGCGACATGTAGTGTACAATTAAGTGAAAGTGAAAAATTTTGCACCCGGTCAAATTCTGATGGAACTTCTCGGACCCTGGCCAGTGCTGCCTGCGTTCTGCCTACCAGATTGCGATGGATTTAGACCCAAGAGATGGTAAACAGCGGAATTGGAATTGGGTCTGGAAATATGATGGGACCCCTAGCATCAAATTTTTTATTTAGTTGGTTCTTTATAACACTATTGCCACAAGGCATCTGCTTGGTCCCAGAGGCATGAACGTGCAAGATGTGTCCCTTATGTGATACTCAAGGTGAGACTATAATTTATTTGCTAATTTGGGATGACATTGGAATAACCTCATTCTGTGGTTGAGAGCTCCAATAAGTCCTTGAGGGAGTGGATTAGGAATGTGAGAACTAAAACTTGGTACAATAGGCCTAGGATCTCTTGGAGTAGCGTTTTCTTAATGGTATTGTGGGTTCTTTTGGATATATAGGAATGCTGTTTCTTTCAATCACAATTCTGAACTAACTTACTTGGCATCTTTTTGTTTGGGGAAATTACCTAAAAAGTCCTAAACCTTTTGCAATTGTGTCAATTCAGTCCATCCGGCCACTTTTGGCCGGCCGGTGCTGACGTGGAGGCCGGCTGACGTGGCAATATTTTAATAAATATTTTATTTTTTCGAATTTTTTTTTACTTTTTTTGACTTTTTTTTTCTCTCTCTCTTTTTTTTTCCGTATCTTCTTCCCCGGTCGCCGGTCATCGGACCGGCGACTAGCAAGAGGCTGAGGCCGGAGAGTGCGAGGCTAGCCCTCGCCGTCGCCGGGCGACAAGAAGGCGAAGCTCGCCCAGCCTCGCCATGGCTGTGCGACGGCGAGGCTTGTTGGGATTTTGGTATTCAAATCCCATAGAAGGTGAATGAGAAGTGTGGATAGAGGTAGTCCCATATTGGATAGAAGAGATGATGGGAGATGGGTTTAATTAGAGGAGCCTCTCAAATGGGTTTGGGCCCTAAGGGGCACCCCACTTTTGTGGAAGGGAGAGGACCTACATGAAGTTGGGTCGGTCCCCCCACGCGCCCGCCGCCGCCGCCAGCTAACTAGGCTTGAATCGGGCCGGGCCCGGGTCTGTTCCTATTTTTTTGGAGCTCAGCCCATCAGTTTTATTTTAAACAGAACAGACATGTTTTCTTTTTTTTTTAACCGATATGTCTGTTCGTTGTTCGTGATTGCTCAATCGGTTCGGTTCGGTTCGGGTTCGCCCATCTATAACCGAACGAAACCTTTCGGTTATAAGTGACTCTTCATTGTTTTTTACTGAATCATTATTGTCATGCCCCGAACCCCATCGAGCACGCGCCATCCTTCACTGGTCCATTAATGTGACGTTCCAGGGTATCGCCGACCTCACTTATAATTATCAGAGATTTGAAATAAGCAGCGGAAACCTCAAAGTACCCGGACAAATGAAACTGGGATAATCACGGAGATTATACATATTCATTTCTTATCCAAACTTATACAATATTCACAATTTACATCCGCCATATACACATGCACACCACACTATAAAACCACCGATATTCAAAAAGGATCGATGACCTGGATATTCTATCACCAAAAATGGTACACCTCCAAAAACTTATTTCCAACCCCTACGCTAACCCCTATGCCCTTTGCTCGGCGTCCATTCTGAGTCTGATTCCTCGTCCTCTGAATCTGAATTTCCCTGATCAGTCTGTTCCTCCAAGGACTCCGGCTCAGCCTCAATCTCGATCGGGTGGTTGATATCACTTGACTCAGCTGGAACCTCGACCTGTTCCTCCCCGACCGACTCTTCAAAGAAATTGTCCTCAGGTACAAAATTGGGGTCCATCCACTGCTCATACGGGAGTATATACTCCGATTCTTCTTCAGGCTCTGCAGACTCAGCAGGCTCATTCTCGGGTTCGGCCTCTGCCCCTTCTTGTTCCAGTTCTTCCTCTGGAATTGGCTCAAGGTCCACATCCATTGGATCATCTCCCGCTAGAGACCCTTCCGGCTCCGGCTCGTGCTCAGCCCCCGAAGACCCTGGTGCTGCGGGCGCCGGATGTTGACCTGACTGCACCAGACTGGTCTCTACACTAGTCAATTCGCCATCAGGGGGAGGAATGGCAGACGAGTCCCAGTCCCCGACTCCATCAAACGGGACGTCAAATCCTCGGACAGGACCGAACTCATCTATCCCGTCCCGGAAGAACCATGCGGTATATGTATGGGGCTCCCACAGGCGTAAACCTACGTCTACATAAACTACGGTGGTGTACCTAATCTAGGTCATATGGTCATCCATAGGAAACTCTACGACATCATGTTCAGTGTGCATTGGGACTCCAAAATGCTCAGGTGGCGGCGGCGAGGGATTCATTGTTCCTACCGGGGTTCTGAAATGTTTGGTTGAAACGACCGTGAGATTATATCTCAGTAAGTACACCCCTAAACCCCACCTAGGCTATCACGTACCTCCAGACAATCACAAAACACAATCACACACCTAACCATCATATAACAGGCACACAATCAGCACTTACCTGGCCTTCCCAGCGTGCAACCTGTACGTTAGCTGTAATACTATATTTTCCAATCACATGCACGTTCGAATCACAATTCACGCATTCACGCTCACCTCATTACATTCTTTTCCACACCACTTGCCAGTGATCCGCGTTACAGTACACGCCTCAGGTTCACTGCGACTATCTTATCACAACACTTCAGGGCCCGCGTTACAGTACACGCCTCAGGCCATGTCTCTTGCCCGCGTTACAGTACACGCCTCAGGCTGAACATCTACCACCTACGGCACAACCCGCGTTGAAGTAAACGCCTCAGGTTGGCAGTC